GCACCGCAGGCTTGGTTGGAGCTGGAGGGCCCCAGGCACCTCTGGGGGTCTCGGCCTGGGCTGAGGATGCGGGGCTGCCGTGGCTCAGCCCCCCACGAGGCTGCATGCGTCAGGGTTGCCGTGGACCCCCGAGCCTGGCCCACCCGACTGGGATGGCATGTGGGGCGGGCCCGCAGCAACCCACCCTAGGGGTCCAGGGGGAGCCCGAGCCAGCTGAAGGCCCCGCCCACCCTCCACCAGACATAAACGAGCTGAACCTGCCCAAGACCTGCGACATCAGCTTCTCCGACCCCGACGACCTCCTCAACTTCAAGCTGGTCATCTGTCCCGATGAGGTGAGGGCCCGCCGGGCCAGCCGCCCGTGCAGGCCGGGCTGTGGTCGTCCCGGGAGGGGAGACCCGCTGCTCCACGGATCCTCAGTCTCCCCGCTCTCCCCCGCCAGGGCTTCTACAAGAGTGGGAAGTTCGTGTTCAGTTTTAAGGTGAGTGGGGGGGGGGACAGGCCTGGCCCCTGGGCGAGGTGGCAGCAGCTGAAAGGTCCCCCCCGGGTGCCGTGGGACACCCCTCCACCTTCCTGTCTTCCTGGAGCCAGGTGGGCCAGGGTTACCCACATGACCCCCCCAAGGTGAAGTGTGAGACGATGGTCTATCACCCCAACATCGACCTCGAGGGCAACGTCTGCCTCAACATCCTCAGGTGAGGGCGCGGCCCCACCGCTGGGGGCCCGAGTGGCTGCCCCCCACGGCTTGTGGTCTGTCCCTCGGTCTCCCCACCTTTTCCTCCTCGTGGCCCGACCCTGACACTGCTCGTGTCCCTCGCCTCCCTGTGGCATCTGCACTGGCTGGGCAGCGCCACGGCCCCTCCCGTCCCCTGACCCCGACGCTCTCTGCCCGCAGAGAGGACTGGAAGCCAGTCCTCACGATAAACTCCATAATTTATGGCCTGCAGTATCTCTTCTTGGTGAGTAGGGGCGGCCGTGGGGCGGCGGCAGGGCGGGCCTCAGCCCTGGGGCCTGTTGACCCCCAGCGGTCCCGCACAGGAGCCCAACCCTGAGGACCCGCTGAACAAGGAGGCCGCCGAGGTCCTGCAGAACAACCGGCGTCTGTTCGAGCAGAACGTGCAGCGCTCCATGCGGGGCGGCTACATCGGCTCCACCTACTTCGAGCGCTGCCTCAAGTAGGGCCAGCGCACACCGGCCCCTGCCGGGCGCAGCCCGACATCCCCTGCAGATATTTATTGGGGGCCGCCTTTGGGGAAGCCCAGCGCGGCGCCCACCGGGGCTCATAGTTATTTTTTTTTAACCACCACGTGATTACAGTCGGTCGGCGCCGCCTCCGCGACCCGCTCAGCAATGGGAAATGAATTGGCTCCTCTAGCCCCCTGCTGGGTGCTGTCCGGCCCCCCGCTCTGGGCTCTGGGGTGGGGCGCGCTGGGGTCGGGGAGGCCGGGGCCCCTGCTCCCCACCCCTGCCCCGCCGCTGGCGGGCCCGCCAGGCTATTAAAGGGGAATGTTACTGCACGGCTTCTGCCTCTTCTTCTGGGGGGGCGCGGGCGCCGCCG